CCACCACACCTGGTTTCTCTGGTCTCTCTTTAAAGTCTGGGGTCCATAATCTCACAATACTTCTGGTGTAATCTGCTCACCTCAGAACTTTCAATTTCTTTCTCACAGATGCTGTTATTGCTAACATACTCTTAAGATTCTGTTAACTTCAAAAATGTATTTTTAATTACAAGATATTTCAAACAAATAGAAAAATACTGAAAATAATGTGACAAGCCACTTGATGTGTCTCTGAGATTAAATACTCATTCAGTTTTGTCATATGCATGTCAGTTTTGTTTCCTTAAGAAGTTAAACATCTGGGCCGGGGATTTAGCTCAGTGGTTCCGGCACCTGCCTTGCAAGCGTGAGGTCCTGAGTTCGATTCCCGGTACCCCCCCCCAAAATTAAATAAATAAATAAAAATAAAATTTAAAAAAAAGAAGTTAAACATCCACGTGCAGCTGAGCCCTTGCCCTCGGCCCAGGCCCTCTGCAGCCCTACAGGTCCATGTGGACCTGGACTCATGGTCAGTCCAGCTCGATGTCCTTCCATCCTGGTGCTGCAGACTTTTGAAACCTGTTTATCTTTTGGCTAGAAGGTGTTGTAACAATAATTGGCTAATGTTTATTGACCTCTAATTGTGTGCCAGGGAGATTTTTAAACCCCTGCTGTCTATCTAAACATTTAGCAACCCTTCGAAGAAGGAGCTGTTTTCCCTATTTTATGGACAGGGAAACAGAGAAGTTAGCGAATTGCTTCAGGTGTGGGGGGTGACTTTTGACCCTTGCAGAGGTGCAGTGCGAGCTGCAGATTGTTCGGATCCAGCTAGAAGGGAGCACACACTGTTGCGGTGGGAAGAGCCTGCTCCAAACACACTTACCGTCTAGTGCAGGGCAGCATACAGACACGGCCGAGCCAGGATTGTGACGGAATCCACGTTAGCGGAAGTGTTTCAGAAGGGAAGGATTTTAGAAATGAAGGGAAAAGTGGGTTGTGAGGCATAGGACCTTGCAACAGCTTTAGATTTGGATGACTGGGGTCCTGGAGATTTAGCTCAGTGGTTCTGTCACCTGCCTCCCAAGTGCAAGTACCTGAGTTCAATTCCTGGTACCTCAAAAAAAAAGGTGAGATTTGGATGCCTGGGGAAGTCGTCACTTTGCACAGTGGCACACACCTATAATCCCAGCTACTCAGGAGGCTGAGGTAGGAATATCAAAGGCTGGAGGCCAGCCTGGGCAAGTTAGGGAGACCTGGTCTCAAAATAAAAAGGCCTGGGATAGAGCATCCCTGGGTTCAGTCCTCCACACCACACATACACACACACACACAGACACACATGCACAACAAGCAGAGGGTGATGTGATTGATGAAAACAGTGGTTTTGGAACACCGTTTGGCAGCAGGCAAGCAGGAGGATTTTATCCTGGGAGCTGGAGTGACCGATGCGTAATGATGGTGTCCATAACATATTAGTATTTGCCAGGAACAGGCTAAGTTCTTAAAGTCTGTTATTTCAGTGTGCCAGCCTGTATTACCAACCACCCCAGAACTTGGTGACTTAATTCTAGAGTTCGTTTGAGCCACATGAGTATGCTTAACACTACTACTGAACTGCTGAATGTGGTGAAGTGGTCAATTTTACATTACTTTGAAAAGCTCAACTTAGAGACTTAAAGTAATGGCTGGTGTTTAGTTCACAGTTCTCTGGGTGAGTTGCGTGTGCTCTGGTCTGGGACCCTCCACACAGACACCAAAGACAGCAGACCCCAGTGCTCACACACTCTTCAAACCTGAATCACATCTACTGCTGTCCTTTTGTCCCCCAAAAGTCACAGGGGAGCCCAGATGTGAGGGAGTAGGAGACTTTCCCTTCTGCTGGGAAGGGCCCCACATGCGTGGCCATTTTTGTGACTTACTGTACTCACCAGTCTCGCCCAACAGCAGCCTGAAAGCCAGAGCACATCATCACCCTTTACAGATTAGGAAAGTGTTGCACGGGGTCAGGCAGTGGCTTTCCCTGGGGCCCACAGAGTGGGAGGCAGTGCTGTCTGAGCAGCGTGCCTCCACTGCAGGCTGCTCAGCTGGAAGATCTCGGGTGGCACGGGTCACATCCCAGCTGGTGATGCAACCCTGGCACAGAGGTGCTCTGGAACATCCCGTTCTTCCTCCCCTGCCTCTGTGAGACTGCCCTCCCTTCCCTCCTTCCCTCCCTTCCTTCACAAATATTTCATCACCAGTTGCATGGAGACCTAGCTTTTGTGAGACTTATATTCTAGCTGAAGACAGAAGCAAATAAGACAAATATGAAGCATTTCAGGTCAAGACAAGTACTATAAAGAATAATGGCAGAAAAAAAATAACAGCAGGCAAGAGATCCCAATACCTGAAGTCAGAGGAGGATTACGTCGTAGGGTTGTGATTTAGGGCAAGAGACTCCTTCTTTGTCTTTTTCATCTATAAAATGAGGGTGTTGGAGAAAATGGTAGCACTGGTTACCTGTGGGGTAGGGAGAGAAAGACTTCACAGCATACTCTGTTTTTATAAAGGTGAGACTTGGGCTCTTTTTTCTAGCGCTAGGATTTAATGATCATTGTGGTACAATGGTGTTAGTTTTGTTAGTTGCAGTTTTTCTGATTCCTTCAAAAACCTGTGAGGCATTTTGAAACATAGTTGAGTGTACCACTGTTTAGAGGAGACAAGTAGGAAAATAAATTTCCCTTCATGTAATACTTGTCTTAGTTTCTCAAGTAACAAAACGGAGTGGAAAATGTATGCTTATCAGATACTGAGAGCTGATTATTTCTGTCACAGAAGAATTTGGCTGTAGAAATGAAGGGTTCAGTAAGTGTGATTTACACTGAGTTTTCGGAGCATTATCAGTAAATCAAGGACATTGTGGCACCTGAAGTTATGTGACAGCACTCAGAGGCAACAGGAGGGAATAAGCAGCCTTTTATAATCAGGAAGGTCTGTCTTTTATCAACCCTCAACCCTGTTGTTGAGACTAAGGTATCTTAAGTCTGCTTAAGTCTTAACACCTGGCCCAGTAAAAGTGAGTTACCCACATCTTCAGTAACTTCCCTCAACCAGTTTTCCAGCTTCAGTCTGGAAGCCAGTAGTTTTTTAAGAAAGACTTGAAGTCATTTGGCAGCAAACTCTGATTTTAATAGAAACTGAGACTTCCTTTATCCCACTCTATATAAATATGCAAATGTTTTGCTTAAGAAATGTAAATACAGTAATCGATTATGGACTGCACCGCACACTGATCGGACTCTAAATGCATTTTCTCGTCCGTTCTCTTAACCCTAAATATTCTGAATTTTGCTACATGTCTAGCCAAAAGGTTTCTGGTAGACTGTGGCCTATAATACCTTTACTGAGGATTAAAAATTCTGTGTGTATTACACTTGCAATACCTGGTTAGACTGGGTGTGATGGGGCACACTTGGATTCCAGATATGTGAAGGCTGAGGCAGGAGGATGTAGCACAGTTTTCTCTGGGTTCAGTCCCCAGTATCACCGAAACCCCCACACTGTCAGTTGGAGCTGAGGGTGGAAGGTGGAGACACTGGCACTGAAGTAGCAGCTGTTCCCAGTAACACTTTTGTCAAGAGCTGGCCTGCAACTGCACAACAGCTGTTGTGGATTTCTTTTCTTTCCTGTGAAGTCTTGCCTCTACGTTTTCAGAGGGAAGGAGTTGGTGAATTGTTTTAAAGTAGTCTATGAATACATGCACTTACTCATCAAGCCTCTTACCGGGTATTTTTGTGTGCCAGACGCGTATATATATATATATATGTATATATGTATATGTGTGTATATATGTATATATATGTGTGTGTGTAGGTATATATTTGGTACCGGGAATCAAACTCAGGACCTTTCGCGTTTGAGGCAGGTGAGGTGGCACTGAGCTAAATCCCTGGCCGAACATAAGATGACGAGTAAATATTAGTTTTTACAAATAATTTTTATTATTGGAAATGGAAATCAAATTAAATTCTTGGGATTATGTGATTTAAAAAAATAAACCTTTACTCCTTAGGCAAAATAATATGTGTATCCATGTTAGGAAATCTAGCAAATAGAGCAGAACACAGTTCACCTGGGGCCCACGGTCCACTAACTTTCTGGGATTGCCTACTAGTAGACAGGCCGTATCTACAACCACTTCCCTGTTGTCAGGTATTTCAGATGCTTCCCATTTCTCTGTGTGCTGTGGGGAGGGTGATATGGGAACCGCGCTTTCCTCAGTTCCCTGTGAACCTCAAACTGCTCAAAAAAGGGTTTATACGGGAGCGCAGGGGCGCAAGGCGCGCTCCTTTCTGATGTTGTCGCCCGCAAACGCCCCTGCCCAGCCCGTCGCCGTCCTCGCTGGGTTTCCAGGGAAGAGTAAGGAAGAGCCAGCTTCCCTGGGGTACTAGAGGCGTGGGGGACACCGCGGGGCTGGGAGCCGTTGCCGGTGGTAAACACCGGCGTTATTCAGAGAAACCGCTGCACAAGAGGAGACCCGCGTAGGCCTGGGCGGGGAAGAGGGGAGTTTAGGGGCGCGCCTGGGTGGATGGAAAAAGGGAAGCTTAGGGGAAGGGGGGCTCCGGAACAAAGGGGACCCGGGCCAGAGGGAGGGAAATCACAGGATTCTTGCTGAAGCGGCCTGAAAGATCAAATGCTCAGAATGCGGGGTTCTGGCTAAAATCGGGCGACGCAGGAAACCTGTAAAAACCAGTCAGGCCTAGCTGGGAAGAGCGTTCGTCACAGGGAGGGACAGCAGGCTTCCCTGTAGTGGACGGGTCTCTTCCACAGCCTGTGGGTTCAGGGGAGAAGGCCCTTGACTCGGGGAGGGTTCCGAGCATGGCCCGGGGCGGGGCCTCACCGCGGGGCGGGGCCGGGCGGCCCGGGCCTGTAGGGCTCGGTTCGCGGTCGGGTGCAGGGAGTGCCCCTCGGGCCCCGCGGCGGGCGCCTCCCGGCCCTGCTGGCATCTGCGGAGGAGGGACGCCTGTGGGTCCGCAGTTCCCATGGCCGCGGCTGCCGGCAGCGCCAAGGCCATGTCCCTCTTCAAGCGCACCTTGGTGCTGAGCCCGGTCGCGGCCCCCAGGGCCCCGGGCGCAGGCGGCCCCCCGCGGGGCTGCCCCTCGGCCTCGGCCACCTGGCCCTGCAAAGACTGGTCTCGGCTGCGGAGCCCGCCGGGCCGCCTGCCCCAGCCCCACTCCCACGCCTGCTCCTCCGCGTCTCCCACCGCCGTGTGTCTTTGCCCGCAGGACTCGCTCAGCAGCAGCTTGAAAACTTGCTACAAGTATCTGAATCAGACCAGCCGCAGTTTTGCAGCGGTCATCCAGGCGCTGGACGGGGACATTCGGTGAGTGGCAGGGCCCCGCCTGGGCGAGGGAAATGGCGCGGCGGGGTGGGGTGCGTGCCCGTCCGCCACCCCTGTGTTTACTTTCCTGTCCCTTCCAGGCTCCTGGCCATTACTATTGTCCCTGTGGGCGGGCCTTTCGCAGGAGCAGAGGGGGTGGTGATGTTTACTAACTTTTTTTTTAGTCCTGGCAGCTGAGCTTGCCTCTGTAGGTCAGGCGTTCTCCGTGGCTTCCCTTGGGCTGCTTTTGGTTTCCAGCGTCTTGGTTAGTTCTTTCAAGCTGGCCTTGCAGATGGTGTGAATTTTCATATCTTTCTCCATGCCAGGAGAAATCCTTGTGCCTTTTGACTTCTTTTTCTACTTGCACAATTTTAGTTCATTCCAAACATTTGCCTGTTGATCCACGCAGTTATTCTTCAGTAGTTAGAGGTAGCCCTGGGTACAGTAGTGGCATCCACCTGCTTGGTTTTTAATTTTGTGTTTTATAAACGACATAATTCCATGATCTCATTTAAGAGAGGAAAACTGATGTTAGCTTTGTCAGGGGTGCAAGGCTTGGCTCTCCTTCGTAGTCCTGTAGAGGTAAGGGTGTAGGCAGCTTCAGAAAATGGCCTGGGACAAATTAGATGTCATCTAAAAATAAGACTTTTGGTTGCTTGTTCCAACCATAACAGTTTTTCCTTTTTGCAGCCATGCCGTGTGCGTGTTTTACCTGGTCCTCCGAGCTCTGGACACACTGGAAGATGACATGACCATCAGTGTGGAAAAGAAGGTCCCCCTGCTGCGTAGCTTCCACACCTTCCTTTATGAGCCGGACTGGCGGTACATGGAGAGCAAGGAGAAGCACCGACAAGTGCTGGAGGACTTCCCCACGGTAGTGACTTGTGCTCCCTGTGTGTGTGCTTGGGTGTAGATGGTAGCGTAGCGGTCAGTTGACCCAGACAGCTGTGGAGAAGGGTCATCAGCGGTCAGACTGGAGCTGCACATCTGGGTTGGAATCCCAACTTACAAACTCGTGCCTGTTGGTTAGCCACTCTGTGCCTCAGTTTCTTTGTCTGTAACCTAGGGACACAGTATTGGCTGGCACACAGTGTTGTGAGGTTTAAAAGAGTAGTAAGGCTCTTAGAAGATCAGTAGCTACTCTCCTTCCAGCGTGTTGTTTGGAAGTCTGCAGTCTGTCCCCATGGGATGGTGCGTTCACACTGCAGTGTTGGGAAAGGTGGACTCGCAGACCGGCTCGCACAGCTGTGGACTGGATCATGCACCTACTGGCTTGTGCCTGGTAGGGACTGTGAGTTAGGGAGTGATCCTTTAGCGGCTGGGTGAGGACCGGGAAGCAGGGTGATCCTCTGCCACTTAGAGCCGTGTGATCCTTTCACTTTTCCTTGTTCTGTGCCTCACTGTCCTGGTTTGCAAAGTTAGAGTGGTGAGGATTGAACAATCCCATGTATATTAAGTATTTAGAATAATGCCCGGTACAGTCTAGGTATTCTGCAAGTATTGGCTTGCAGGGCAATTCTGTTGGAGTGAAGTAGGTGATAATTAAAGCCTTCAGCTATCAAAGGTTCCTCAGGTTTATGCCATACATGTAACTTTCTAGAATTGATGTGTCTTATCACACAAATAAGTGACCCTTCCATATCTTACAAGTAAAGGATTGATTTAGTAAAGTCATGTGTTCCCTAATTGCCCAAAGAAACTCTTAAGTTTTGGCACAAGAATAGTCCTTGTGCGGCTTTTGCTCTTGAAACAAATGCAATCTATATATCTGAATGAGGAGGGAGCTGGATAGACCGGAGAGTTCGGGTGTTACGGAAGAAGGTTGAGGAAGGGGCAGTGGCTGTTTCAGATTGCTAAGATCATATCTTTAATGCCAGAGCCCGAAATATACTGTAGTATAATGCAGATCAAAAGGCAGAGTGGCTGGGACTGAGGGAGGAATGACAGCTCTGGCTGGGGAAGGTCTGACCAGGGTGCTGGTGGCCCCGGGACACTCGACAGTCAGGTGAAGTGCTGCAAACAGCCACACCGTTTGTAATTGAAGTTTCCCTTCAAAAATGTTATTCTGGGCCGGGGATTTAGTTCAGTGGTTCCAGCGCCTGCCTCGAAAGCACAAGGGCCCGAGTTCGATCCCCGGTACCAAAAACAAAACAAACAAACAAGAAAATCATACAAAAAATGTTATTCTATCTAGATCTAGCCTCCAAAAGCCAAATCAACCAACCAAACCGAAAAACGCACAAGGAATATAATCATTATGTGTGGCAAACGTGTTGGATAAAAATAAAAATTAAGTACACAAAAAAATCTTCACCCAACTACTTTTGACTTGAGTAGATTTATAACAGTTAATCTGACCATGAGATACATGTCTTAGGTATCATAAAAACCTATGACTCAACAAAAAGCAAGATTATGAAAATACGAATGCTAAAATAATTTGGGGCAGATAGCTAGTAATTGATTTTTTTTTTTTTTGAGATAGAGTCTGTGACGTTTAGGCTGGCCTTGAACTCAGTGTATAGCCCAGGTTGGTCTTGAACTCACAGCAGTCCTTCTGCCTCAGCCTCCTGAGGGCTGGGATTACAGGCATGCACCACCATGCACAGCTGTAGTAAATTTTCAGACCCCATTCCAGTATGTTTATAATACCTAGAGTCCTTTGTACACACCGCTGCAATGGAAAATGCTTTGCCCTGGAAAGTTTCACATTTGAATTTTAAGTTGATATTTTCCGAAAGCAGAGCAATTATAAAAGGGAGTAAAAGCTTGAGATAGGAAGGTATATTAGCTTTTTGTTGCTGTGACCAAATCCCTGTGCAAAACAACTGAAAAGAGGAAAGATTTATTTTGGCTCATGGTTTCAGGGGTTCCGGTTCATGATGAACGTCCCGAGGGTGGAGAGAGTGACTAGCCTGGCTCACGGCCACTCGCTGTGCCCAGAGAAGGAAGTGACTGGGCCAGGCTGGAGTCGCAGCGGCTCCCGCTGTCCCTTGGGTCTCTGGGAAAACAGAGCCCTTCATTGTCCCTTTTTCCTGGGTATTTTTCATTCCGTGTTTTCAACTGCACAGTTGTGTAACACATGCCAGGTGTTGCTGAAGGGAACAGGCCCAGGTCCCAGGTGGAGGTGTTTATGTTGGGTGTCTGTTTGGGGTCCAAGCCCCTTCTGCCCCTCAACAGCCCATCCTCTTATAAATAGAATGGTCTGGCCGAGGAGCTGTGAGGGGAGCAGAGTCCTAGGGAGCGCCCCGGTTCAGATGACCCTGGGCAGCGTGGCCGGTTTGTTTTTCTGCCAGAGGAATCCCGTTTTGGCTTTAATGTGGGGCAGCTGTCCTGGAAGGAACAGATTGGCTTTATGGTCTGGGTTTAACACTTGGTGATCCTCAGAGAACTCGCACTGTCTCAGTCCTCCGAGTCGCCCTCGTGCTCCTCAACCAGCTGGTGCCCTGCAGACCCTTGATAAACTCAGGGCCTACTTTCCTGAAGAAGTTTTTCTCATGTTTCTGTAAACCCAGACCAAGAAAATCTCACACATGTGATCTTCAGCAGCACCTGTTCGCTGTTGGCAGTATTGTAAAGCAGCCCTGTTAACCTTTTGTAGCATTTTGAAAATAAGTTTCATGGTGTTTTTATATTGGGCTTTGACAGCCTTTAAACACTTCTTTGAATTAAGATGTTTATGCAGTTGTGTTGAATTTTTTAAACCATCAATACTGCTTGTCTACATCAGAGTTCAGACTTGTAAAGAAGAAAAAATTGGGCAACAGGCCTTAAATCATTTAAGAAACGTGAAGAGTGTGTGGCCTTGGAACAGGGAGGAAGGGTAGCTCTGTGGCGTGAATAGGGGAACTGAAAACGGGAAGTGGATGGCTAGTCTCAAAAGTCGAGCTCTGCAAGGGCACGAGTTTCTGCCTGGTACCATGCAAGGACTCAATTTCCTGTTTGTGTTTTTCACGGTCTCCATTTCAGATCTCCCTGGAATTCCGAAGTTTGGCTGAGAAATACCGAATTGTGATCGCTGACATTTGTCAGAAAATGGGAAGTGGGATGGCAGAGTTTCTGGATAAGCACGTGACCTCCAAGCAGGAGTGGGACAAGGTGAGTGTCCCGTAAGGTGGGCTCTGTGTGTGGTGCTCTAGACAGAGCCGCAGTCCTCTCCGGAACCACAGCGCCAGGACACTGTCCTCCAGTTCCGGTTCTCTGGTTGTAGGACTCATTGGATCAGCTGGGACATTTCTTCCCAAACACACAGTAGCGGCTTGAAGTTTAAAGCTCTGTCAGTGAAATTTTAGTTCTTTTTCTTGGTACCGGGGATTGAATTCAGGACCTCAGGCTTGCAAGACAGGCGCGGGAGAGCTTGCTGTTAAACAGAGTTCAAATACATTCACCTAGTCTCAGAGGTAGAGAATTGAGCTTATAATGTTGTCTCTGATTTGCTATGAAATTTTCCATAAATGACTAAATTATTGTGTGTAATATGGAAATAGTTATGTTTTCTGTTTTCTTCTCTGTGACTGAGTGTGTGTCTGTACCTGCTTTAGTGCCTACCTCATTTCCGTTCCGTGGTTCTTCGTGTCTGTTTGCTTAGAATCAAGGAAGAGCTCACGAGAGCCCAGAGGAACTAATTCTGGCTGCGCAGGTTGTGCTGAGGGGTGAGCACCTCCCTACCACCTCGCTTGCTTTCTCATCCTCTGCGAGGGGAAAGAGACACCGGGGGCTGGCAGTGTAGCTCAGTGCTAGAGCATGAGGCTGGCACGCATGAGGGCCTGGGTTCAAACCCAGCACGATAGTAAAAAAAAAAAAAGATAAATGAAAGAATGAATGAGGGGAAGAAAAGGGAAAGAAAGAAGGAAGGAGACCCTTGGGGATGGCTCTGAGTGTCTTTACTCGTTCCCTCTCCATTTGTGCGATTTCTGTTGTCCTAGTCTGTGTTGTGCTGGGTAACAGAGTACCAGAGACTGGGGAATTTACAATGAGAAGAAGTGCGTTTCGCACAGTTTTGGAGGCCGGCAAGGTTCCAGGGGCCAGGGCCTTCCTGCTGTGCCCCACAGGTGCAACACTGGTGACGGTGGGAGAGCAGGAGATGAACTGGACCCACGCCCTCTTACAGTCCGCGTAGAGCCCACCCGCCGACGCATTGTGCTGCGGCTGGCTTCTGGCAGGGCCTTTCAGGGGACACACTCAGGCCATAGCGGGAACAGATGCAGGCGGAGGGGCTGAGCTGTGAGGGGCTCCCCACCCGAGATGGGGGAGCTCCGTCGTCCTCGGGACAGGGTGGCTGGAAAGGGCTGTGAGAGCAGGTGATGCAGCAGGTGTGGTTTGTTCCTGACTATGCTGTATAGGACACGTAGCTGGCAGTGCGGGGCGGGGCCGAGTGCTTGTGTAGATGGGGACCGTGGGGACCAAACATAAGAAGTACAGGGTAGGAGTGTCTGGCTGCCCTTTGCATAGGAACAGTGTTTGTGAGACTTTCTCACCGCCTCTGGTAGCTGAGCCATTGCCAGCACCTAGCGTTTGCCTGTCTGGTACCTCTGACTGGGCTTAGGTTAGACCTCCAGAGAGATTCTGCTATACCTTCTTGAGTCAGTGGGTTTCGGGGTTTGGCCCATTCATCTTCCAAGCCTTAGAACTTGATAGAATGGGCCAGGGATGTGGTAGACTGTTGCCTAACATGTGCAAGGCCCTGAGTTTAATGTGCAGGACTGAAAAACAACAGGGAGGCTGAGGCAGGAGGATTGTTGTTGGAGGCCAGCCAGGGCTACATGGTGAGATCCTGTCTCAAAAACCAAATGAGAAACAAGCCTCAAAAGAAGAAAACACTTGATGGATGCACCTTGGGAACTGCTGCCCACATTAGCAAGCACGTGGTTGGTGCTGGAATATCAGTTTCTGAATTTCAAGACTGGTTATCTGACAGTGCCTCCTGTTTTTGCTGGTTACACCTATTCAGAAAACTTCATTATAGGCTGAATAGAAGTTCCAATCAGATAAAATACAAGATTTTAAGACTTTTTTTCCCCATCAACTTTAGAGGAAGATGTTCTAGACATGCTTCTTCCCAAAGAACTCTCATCCTGAAATATATTTTTTCTTGCCCTGCAGTTATAGCAGTGCTGTGCAGTTTCTAGTAAGTGTTTGTAGATTTCATGTAGGCATCCACAGCTCTCTTCTCTCTACCTAATTCTAGCCAGTCTTCCCCGTTTTAGGTTCTCCCTCTCTCAGAACACTTGACGAGTGCCCTTTCTTGCCATCTCATTGTGGCCCTTGTTGGTGTCTGGCCTTGTGTCACCTTTGGTCGGAGACTGCTCCGTCTCTGTGCCTTTGACCCCTCCTGGTGACCGGCCCCGAATGTGTACCGTGTTACTCTTACTGAATTGCCTAACACGTTCATTTCATGTAAGATGCTGTAGTAAGTTGTTTAGGAACAGTAGTGGCGAACCGTTTAGAGACAAATGGCCAGACTGCAGTTCAAAACCCACTTACTTATCACAAAGTGCCAACATTCCAATTAAACCTGAATGTTAAGGTTTTAGTTTAGAAAGAACAACTCATACATTAACATCTTTTGTCTTAAAAGAAAAATAATGTACGTGCCATAGGTTCCCTACCGCTGTCTTGGAATATCCTTTTCAGGGAGCATAACTGGACAGACTGCTATCAGGGAAAAAAAATCCTTTGCCAGTTATGAATTACATTCTTGGTTGAGAGTTGCATTTACCAAAATCTCTTCTGAGAGAAGAAGCTTTAGCGAAGTTCATCAAAGCCTGACTCTTAGGCTGGAGCATCTGCTTTTGAATCCCCGGTCCCATACTTCTCAAATGAGTGATCTTGGGCAAGTACGTTGACTGCTTTGTCCCTCAGTTTCCTCATCTGTGAACTGGAGCTGATAGTGGTAGGTGCCTCACCAGGTGTCTGGGACTGAACGAGCAGAGTTCGGAACCTGGTGCCTCGACATGACTCTGCTTCCTTCTTAGGCACCGTGTTTCCCTCAGCCACAGGTTGCTGCTCTGAAAGCTTCATGCTCCAGTAGTTGTGTTTTCAGTCAGATGAGATCTTGCACATTGTTTGGAAACTGCCCTTTTTACAAAAACTAATTTTTGGTACATTTTACATATACATGATGGTCACATTCATCATAGGGAATTTGTATCTGTACATGACATATCTTGATCCCTCCTCAACTCCTCTTCCTCTTATTTACAAAATTTTGTTTTTGTTTTTTTCCTTCTATTTTTTTTCCCTTCTTTCCTTCCCCCTCCCCCTCCCTTGTTCTTCTCATTTAAACATTTTCTACCTATTTCCCAGTATCTGTTATACATTTTGGTCCTTATTTACCCTTTCGGTTTCTTATACCAGAGAAACAGTGCAATATTTAAACATGTGTCTGATTTATTTCACTTAAGAGAATGGTCTCAGGCTGCATCCATTTACCTAGAAATGTCTCCAGTTTATCCTTCTTTATGGCAGAGTAGTACTCCATTGTATAAAACTCCACACCTTCTTTATCCATTCATTGATCGATGGGTGTTTGGGCTGGAAAAACTGCCCTTTTGTGTAGCTAATTATTTCCACCATTTCCATTTCCGTGAAAATGTCATTATTAAAATACTTTTCAAATAATCCTTTACAGTACTGCCACTATGTCGCCGGGCTGGTGGGAATTGGCCTTTCTCGGCTGTTCTCGGCCTCGGAGTTTGAAGACCCCGTGGTTGGTGAAGACACCGAGCGGGCCAACTCCATGGGCCTGTTTCTGCAGAAAACGAACATCATCCGCGATTATCTGGAAGACCAGCAAGAAGGCAGAGAGTTCTGGCCTCAGGAGGTAAGAGATGCGGGTGTTGAGGGAAAGTGGTTTTAGACTCTGCAAACAGATCATGGAGCCCGCAGCTGCGAGTGAGAGACTCCAGTCAGACCCTAGACTGCACTAGGGGCCTTTGGAAGAGGCTGGGGATTCAACCCCTTCGCCTCAGCCTGGCCGCCTCCCCGTGCAGACGCTGCCTGTGTGCACCAGTCTGACCCCGGGCTTCTCGTGGAGGGCTCGGCTCTTAGGCTGCTCGCTGAATCTGTTCCCGCTTGGCTGTCCTGGACTAGGTCTGCCCGGCGCATGCGGACTGGGCCCCCAAGACAAATTCTGTGGCTGGGGGGCAAAGGGGCTGGGGACGCAGCGCAGGGTACAGGGCTTGCCTGGCATGTGTGAGGCCTGGGTGAGTCCTCAGCAACACATACACAGAAGAGAGGAATAATGCTAGACCTAAAACTGCACAACTAGAGATGTCCATGCTAAGGGACAGGAAGGGTTTTTTGCTTTTTTGAAGCAGGGACTCACTGTGTAGCTCAGGCTGTCCTCAGACTTGTGGTGATCCTCCTGCCTCAGCCTCCTAAGTCCTGGGATTATAGGTGTGTACCACCAGGCCTGGTTTAAGAGTTGATCTTTGATTTAATTAAAACATGGACAGTGAAAGGGAGGCCTTCGACATTTATTTTATTCAAAAGAAAAGTTAGAAAACTTTGTGACGATTTCCCACATTTACTGTAGCATTTACCTCTTGTTTGCTATAATATGGTTTCCTAAAATCAAGTGCTTTTAAAGTTAAAAAAAGACAAGTGACAAAGTGGGAGAAAGTATTTGCGCGTTGTACTCCAGCGAAAGGGTTCATATTCCTAATATAAAAAGAACTTTTGAAAGCTAAGAAAAGACCCTCCTCCTCCTCGAGAAGTGGGCAGGGAGGTGAGAGGAGACCACAAGACAGGCAGTGACCCTCAAACACCTGCGCTTGCGGTCAGCCCTTCCCGGGGGGCCGAGCCCACCCTGCAGCCGCCCAGGGGACGTTCCTGGTGCAGGGTGCAGGCACTGAGCCCACCCCACATGCCTTGTGGATGCCACGGGAGCCGTGGGTGTGAGTGAGCAGCAGCCCACCACCCTGACACGTGTGGGGGAAGTGCACTTACAATTAACGCGGGTGGGGCGGCTGAGACACACGGCAGGTCTTCAGCACAGGGTGCCCGGTCAGCATCGATCCAGATGGCTCGGAAACACAGAAAGTGCCTGCGGACTGAGAGCCTGCTAGTGAGGCCTGCGGGGAACGGGCGCTGCTGGCAGGGGTGCTGCTCATCCACTCCCGGCAGTGGCGGAAGGAAGCCTGTCTGGCTTTTCTGAGGAGCCCTGGTATAGGGAACAGCACACGGATCCAGTGACGAGTTCTTGCCGACCCGCACGCTCACAGGAATAATGAGTGTGTTCAACGGCATCACGGGTGCAGTCAGCAAAGCCCAGAATTCGGGAAATGAGGCTAGTTCCTGCAGAGCAGGGTCATAAGTTCGAGTCCAGCCTGTGCAACCTAGAAAAAGCCCGTCTCAAAACATCTTAAAAAGGGGCCTAGGGTATAATGCAGTGCAGAGGCCCTGGGTTCAGTTTTTAAAATATCAAACCTATCATACTGTTGGAATCAGGGATGTTACTTTAGAATGACCCTTTCTTTTTCCGATTATCAGTTATCTAGCATAGTACTTTTTGTTTTTTTGGTACTGGGGATCGAACTCGGGTCCTTGCACTTGTGGGGCAGGTGGCGGCAGCACTGAGCTAAATCCCAGGCCCAGGGATGTTACTTTATTAAAAGTTACTAAGATACAGGGAGGCGATGCTCTTGGGGTGTGGACTCTTGTTTTCCCCAAATGTGCTTGTTTAGCAGCTTGCTTATCAGCATGGACACCGCAGTGTTAATTGTTACTTTGAGGCCTGGCCATCTTGAGAGTGCTGATTTTAGGGCTGGGTTTGTGTCGGGTCTCCTGACTGTCCAGGGGCTCTTTGGTCTGAGGTTGCGGAGGTGTTGAGTGCACGCTGTGCTGCTGGTTGGTGAGGGTTGCCTCCCCAGGGTGTCTTGTGATGCGCCCTTGCGTCGTGGTCCTAAGTGGGTATTGCCTGGATCTTAGATGAAATGGGTCTGGTTGCAGCAAGGAGACGAGCGCAGTAGACAGAGTTCCTGTTCCGATGCTGGAGATCAAACCCAGAGGCTCTGTTGCATGCTAAGAAGCACCACCACTGAGCCATATGCCCAGAAAGATGTCTTAACGTCACCTGTGAATTGTCTGTGTGTGATGCTGACTGTCCTCTCACCCTGGCGTCCGGCCAGGTCTGGGGCAGGTACGTCAAGAAGCTGGGGGACTTTGCTCAGCCGGAGAACATGGACGTGGCCGTGCAGTGCCTCAACGAGCTGATAACCAACACGCTGCACCACATCCCCGACGTAATCACCTACCTGTCCCGGCTCCGGAACCAGAGCGTGTTCAACTTCTGTGCAATCCCACAGGTACGGAAGGCTAAGGGCTCCTCGGGCTCTGGGGGCCAGAGGGCATGGGCTGGATGCAGTCAGTGTTGGCTCCTTAACTGCACGACCTGGGTATTTCTTTGCTGGGCGTGGGCAGCAGTTCCCAACCCTGCCTTTGCCTCCCAGCATCTACTCAGCTCAGCCTCAGGTTCAGTCTGCCCCTTTCCACAGCCCTCCTCCATCTACTCTTTCCCACCAGTTCGTGCTCTAGATTAGCCAGATCCCTATGATCACAGCTAAATCCAGGACCTCAGCCTAGACTTATGGTGAGTGATGGCCAAGCTTGGGTGACGCTGTTACTGTCATTCATTCATTCACTCGCTCAGCTCGGTGTTGGGGAGGAGCCAGGACCTTGTGCACCTAGGCAAGCGCTGCCTATCGCTGAGCGGGGTCCAGCCCGGAAGCTGTGAGCATGAAAATGTCTTCATTAAACACCTAAATTTTCCTGTCCTTTTCTTGTACTCAGAATAACATAACCTGATCCTGGGGCCGGGGATTTAGCTCAGTGGTTCCGCTGCCTGCCTCATAAGCACAAGGTCCTGCGTTCGATCCCTGGTACCAAAAAACCTGATCCTATAGACCTAGCCCCTCAGTGTTCTAGGAGGTGACACCTGCTACTTGTCTTTATCAGTTGTTCCAGTTAGTAACTCAAATAAGTGCAGACAGCCGTAGGATTTAACTGATCTGGAAACTTGGTCTCATCTTGATCTAGTGACTAGCTTTGAACGACAGTTGGAACTAAAATCTGTCTGATTGAAGGCCCATTCTACTCCATAACTTGCCTCTAAGCACAAGAAATTATCCTCCCGTCTGTTATTTTCCTTTCATATTATTATTATTTTTTTTTTTGCAGTACTGGGGCTCGAACTCAGGACCTTGTGTTTGCAAGGCAGGCACAGTGTCACTGAGCTAAATCCCTGGCCCACTCATATTATTTTTAAATAGATAATGATTGTGTTTATTATAGACAAAGAGAAAAAACCTAGAATTGAAAATTCCTTCCAGATATAATTTTGAAATATATTTTTCAAATCTAATAACCCATTGTTGTAGCATTTTATTTAAAAACAAGAAAACTTGTAGCTGAACAACGGAACACTGTAACCCTGCACAGAACCTTGGCTGTGTGGGTCACTGAGAAAGGGAGGAACAGGAAAGGTAAAGACCTTGGTGCTGCCTTTGTGGGTATAGACAGCTGTGTAAGTTAGGTCTCAGCTCTCAGGCATTATACTTTCTAGGAAGGATTCTTACCTTTCCATGATGGCTCGCAGTGCTGTTCATTAGGGTTTTCTTCATGAACTGCAGTGAATTGGTTTCCCCCTCCCTTGTCTTCTGTAGGTCATGGCCATTGCCACCTTGGCTGCCTGTTACAATAATCAACAGGTGTTCAAAGGGGTGGTGAAGATACGCAAGGGCCAGGCAGTGACCCTAATGATGGACGCCACCAACATGCCGGCTGTCAAAGCAATCATATCCCAGTATATGGAGGAGGTGGGTTTTGTGTAACTCCCTGGGCTGTTTGTGGCTGTTTGTGTGATCGAGACAGTGTCACTATTTATCACACCACGCTTGGGCATCAGGGGAGCCTAACAACTCACAGTGCTGGGCCTAAGAAAACAGGAGCTGGTGTCCTTTCGGGGAAAATGTGTGCCTGGGAGCTGAGCTCAGAGCTGCAGAGGCCCTGGCCGGAGGGTGATTGAAGCGAGGCTACAGGGTGGAGCCTCCTGGAAAATATTTTTTTAAAATTATATTGGGGCTAGAACCCAAGACCTTGTGCATTCTAGGCAAGCGCTCCACCCCTGGGCCACCTCCCCAGCCCCCAGAATCCCATGCTTTGGGTGGGAGCTGCTGCTCGGCTTAGCCTATGTAGCCTGTGTAGCTCACCCAGCGAGTCCTGGAGTGGATTCCGTCACTCTCAGGTCCCCATCGAGAAACCATATAGGAGATTTAGGCAAAGGAGGACCCCAAGTTCCAGTCCCTTCTGTTTTCTTCTGCGAACCTCATTTCAAATGCCAAAGCTGTCGGCAATGCCAGGCTCAAGTCAGATCACCCACTGGGGAGGGTCTCAGATGTGCCTAGCTTTCTTAGTGCTACTGCCCCTGGTCAGCGCGGCAGCGATGGTTCCCAGTGGACGTGACTTGTCTTTTCCCCTTCCCCCGGGGCACCCGGGTAAAGCCTGGGTGGTGCCGCCCAGGTCCAAAGGCCGGATCTTCTCAAGATGGGAGGCTGCGGAGATTATGGAAACACAAAAGTGCCCCCGCCGAGGTCGGCGCTGCTGGGGTTTGTGACTCCCTCCACCTCCCTGTGTACTTGCAGGGATGTGGTTTGTAACAGCATTTTCACCTGAATAGAATTCTACAGAACCATGATTCTCTCTGATTTCTGTCAGACATGGCACTTCCTCCTTGCCTTCTACCTGACAAGTTTTAGACATTACTATTTCTACCTACAGAGGGTTGAAGAGCAAACCAAATCTTAAAAAACAGCAACAAAGCCCGCTGCAGTTCCTGTAGTAACTACAGTAGTGAAAGTATCCAGCCATTTGTTGGCCACAACATTGCTGCCAGTGACTGGCTCTCCACGTGCCTGGCACTTCCTGTGCGCTTACTGTGTGCCTGGCATAGCAACAGAATAGGTGGGTGCTTACCTGTGTCAAGGAAACCGAGGCCTCCACCTGGTGGTATAGCCGTAATCTGGACAGGTCTGTTCCACTCAGAGCCTGAGCTGTTAACTACAATTCCAGGGGTTCATTTACCCTTTTGCGTCAGGATTGTGCCATTGCAGGCGCGATATTTTCATTTTATGTAAATTAGAAACATGTACTTTGTAGTTCAGAGGTGGTTTTGGTTTTGCATTTTTATTCTGATCACTGACTTTCAGAAACCCATTTTTTAGCTGGCCTTGGTGGTACATGTCTACAATCCTAGTACCCAGGAGGCTGAGGCAGAAAGATCGCCACTATTTCAAGGCCAGGCTGAGCTACATAGCAAAATCTTGTCTCAAAAAACAGTAAAATGTTTTTTAAAATTTATGGGCAAGTCTGTTGTTTATAATTTGGTCAGGGGCAAAGGTGGGCTCCAGCTGAACCGCCTGTTTTGTTAAACAAATTTTGTGTTGGAATTCAACCGTAGCATTTACTTTTCTTCCATGTTTGCTTTTGCAGTCTAAGGGCAAAGTTGAGTAGCTGCATCAGAGGATGCCCCCCAAAACTAAAAATAATTTTTAGCCGTTTAAGAGAAAACCTGCTGGTCTCTGGTCTAGGGCATCAGTTATTTCTTTAGGTGCAGTGGTTCATGGCTATAATAATCTTAGCTGTTTGAGAGGCTGACACAGGGGGATTGCGAGCTCAAGGCCAGCCTGGGCGACTTGGTGAGACTGCTTCACAAAGTGAAAATGACAGGAAGTGTAGCTTTAAAAATAAGGAAAGTTACTGTAGTGAAACTCAAGGTCTTTTCAAGAAAATGTGAATTCTTGAGTTGATTTGGTACAGAAAAATCTCTGAGGATTTATAAGTCCCCAGCATCTGATAATAGTTTGGTGTTTTTTTTTTTGGTACTGGGGAATCTAACTCAGGACCTTTCAGTTGCAAGGCAGGTTCGGCACCACTGAGCTAAATCCCCGGCCCAGATAGCGGTTTTAATAGCCAGCTAAGGACATTCTGCACGTGCACTGTTACCGAGAGGCTTGTGCAGCAAGTACACAGGCAGGCGGCCCCTGCTGCTGTCCAGATGCTGGCTCTGAACCTACTCCTCGCTGCCCGGCAGTAGGGGAGGCCTGTCCTCCTGTGGGGTCCCGAGCTCTGCTGGCTGCAGTAGGGGAGCCGGAGCCAGAAGTGGCTTCTGGGGACCTCGTGCACCCAGGGCCCGCATGGGGAGGAGGACACTGGCACACACCGCACACCTGAACGAACCAGGAGCAGCTCGGCACTACTCTGGGGTAGAAGCGAGTGTGCTGGCAAACCTCCGTGCCCTCCCTGCTGGAGTGTGTTCCTTGGCCAGGCTGCTGTGCTCTGGCCCTCGGGTCCCTGGCAGTGGGGCGTGGCCACTCGGGGTGCTCTTTGCCGGTACAGACTGGCACCTGGGTGTGCAGGGCCCTTAGAGGGTGCGCTCTGAAGTGATTTATTTAGTGATGCAGTTGCGAAGCCGATGGCTCTTTTGCTGTTGAGATCGCTTTTGACCCGTGTCGTTGGACCGGGTGGCTCTTTCTCTCCTCAGAGCCCTTTCCTGTGCTTCTGTGACACTGTTTCCCATTAGGCTCTGGCCCCTGCCTGTCCTGGGGTCTCTCTGGCTGCTCCTCGTCCTTCTCTCAGTTGCTGCTGTGGCCTCGAGGTCTGGCTTGAGCTTCAGGCTTTCTCACTACGGCTGCTCTGTGTCCCCCGTACCCGCCCCGTGCTGTGGCTTCTTCCTCCACTGCGTCCCAGCTCAGGGCCGGGCCTGAGTGACAGTGCCGTCCATGTAGACATCACATCCCGTCCCTGCGTGCAGCAGTCCCCGTGTCCGTCAGGCACGTGTGGCTGAGGAGCCCGTTCTGAGCCAGGTCCCACAGTCCTTCCCAGGGCACCTCGGGGACGCCCCCAGGCCCCAGCTCCCAGAGGGTGGCCCGCCCCGAGCGCAAGACTGCATACATGGGCCTCTGGCAGACGTGCACCATCCAACTTCAATTGGGGATTTTTTAAATGATAGTATATTCATGCTAAGCAACTTGTGTTTTTTATTTTAGTTGTGTGTGTTGGGAGAAGGGTGGCAAGACTATCCACTGTGTAATAAAAGCTTGGGATAAAAACTTCTTTGAAAAAGGCCTGCTTTGAAGCTGGGCAAGAAGGCACATGCCTGTAATCCTAGCTGCTGAGGCTGAGGCACGAGGGTCTTGAGTTTGAGACCATTCTGAGATACTTCGTCTCTGTCTCCAAACAGTAAAAATAGAGCAGCCTGCTCCTCACCCCGCCTGGTGCCCAGACCCGGCGTGTGTCCTCCTCGCCACAGCCTCTTAGCTGGCTGGTCACTTGGATCCCACATTCCCGGAGGCCTGCCGTGTGCCTGGTTTGGGGCTGAGCGAGAGCTGGGTGGACTCCAGGGTTACGGCAAAAGGCGGGAGGGACAGGTGGGTGTGCAGATGTCAGCCCAGTGGCCTGGCGGGGGTGGCCCAGCTGGGGCACCTCGGTCCCACATGGAGGAGCTCAGGGTGCCCTGGGTGAGAGGGAGGGGCCATGTGGGTCTTCAGGGACAGGTGTGAGAGCTCTGTGCTCACCTTGGGAGCAGGCAACTGGACCTGGGGCTCAAGCAGAGGCGGGGGGCCCTCCAGGTCTGCCTGCGCCTGGCTGCCACCACACTGGCCTGGCTTTTCCAGGATCGCCTCCCTTTCTTTCTCCTTGTCACTCTAGTCAGCCTATTGGACTCATGCTGGCTGCCCTTTCAGTCTCTAAAGCCCACCGAGTTCTCAGAGGGCTTAGAATAGGAAAGAAAGGGTGGCCGGTGCCATCCTTGGATAAAGGTTCTCGAGTCTCCTGTGAACTTGAGCTTCCAGACAAATGCAGGTCGGTGTCCTCCACCTGAACACTGCTGCGGCCTGGCCAGAGGGTTTGGGGACCTGGAGGCCAGTGTGCTTTGGGACTGGGTGGCCTGGGTGGACATCCCTGTGGAGTGGCTTCAGGCAGGTCACTTCCACGGGTTCTGAGCCTCAGTTTCGTTGCTGGTGAGCTGGGCATAAAGTAAGGGGTAACCAGGGAAGTGTTTCTAGACACTGGGTCCTGAACATGTGGCACTTACGTTTTGTCCTCTCCTGTTGACAGATTTACCACAGGATCCCCAGTTCAGACCCATCCTCCCATAAAACGAGGCAGATCATCTCCACGATCAGGACGCAGAATCTCCCCAACTGCCAGCTGCTCTCCCGGAGCCACTACTCCCCCATCTACCTATCCTTCATCATGATCTTGGCCGCCCTGAGCTGGCAGTACCTGAGTGCACTGTCCCAGGTCACAGAGGACTATGTGCAGACCGGGGAGCACTGATCAGGACACCCAGAAGCCGAGGTTCACCTGGACCGGATGAACTTTTGATCCAAGGATGGGGACTGGCTTTTTTTTTCTTCCTACTTTAATCTCTCCAAGAGATTAAAACCATGGACCTTTAGAAAATGAAATGCATTTGCAAAGAATGTGGGGATGAAAGCAGAGGATACCCTGCCCTCAGCGCCTGTGCCTGGGTCTCTGGCCCCTCCTCCCTGGTGTCAGGGCTTCATGTGGGGTTGCGCGTGGGCACCTGGTCTGGTCCTGCAGGATCCTGCTGGAATGATAATTAAATGTGTTTAATTTGAAGCAAGCTTTGAATATTTCACCGGAAAAGGGAGTGCATTTTCCTGTCCCGTTCTGTTTACTCGTCCTTTCCTTTCATTGGGTTTAGTGTGGCAGAGACACGTGTTGGTGGCTGTAGGTTCCGTCTCCATGTTTCCTGAGAACGCACGCTGGTGGGAATAAAGCGGGCATCCTGGCGTCGTCAGAGGGAGCGTGGCTTTCAGAGATGCACGGCGCCGTCTCTGGCCCATTTCAGCAGTGGGACCATCACAACGGCAAAGGCTTTTTCCCTGTACCCAGGGCCTTCATGCTGAGCTACATTTCCCAGCCCTTTTTATTTTTCATTTTGAGACAGGGTCTTACTAAATTGCTAAGTTGCCCAGGCTGGGCTGGAACTTGGGATCCTCCTGACAAGGCAGCCTGGGGCTAGTGTTCATCCCTTCCCAGCCTCCGCCTAGTTACCTGCCAGGCCGGCCTCTTAGAGCCACCCTGGGGACCAATTGACAAGAACTGAGGGCACTCGAACCGTGGCCGTGCCACCACAGCGGGCGCAGTGCTGAAGTGCACCATGGATAACCTTTCAGCACTCGCTGGATTCACAGATAGGGAAACGGACTTTCTTACTGTGGCCCTGGGGACAACTGGCTCCGTTCGTTGGTTCACCAGAGGTCCAGCCTGGGACAGGTGAGGTGAGCTTGCAGGGAGCTGCTCAGCTGTGAGCCAGGCTCACCCGTGTTTTCCCTTCCAGTTCTTTAAATGGCAGAAATTCATTTGCAATTTCAGAGGAGGGGTTACAGAATGGGTGTGTTGCCTTGGATTTAATTCTCCTAAAGCTCATGGAAGAGGATACACCAAAGCCTCCCAGGACCGACCTGTGTGGCCTGGGGATGTCACCCTGTGGCTTACGGATCTCTTGGGTCCCTTCCTGCTGCATGGCTACGTGATTCGAACTTCAATATGTGTAAAGATCTTGGCTGTCATTCCTTGCAGCAGCTCTTAGAAAACTTCCATCCCCTCTGAGTATCTTCTCTACTAGCTTTGCCAAATGAAACAGGATGCCCAGTTGTCTTAGGTGCTTTTCTGAGACATCGTACCTGACACCCAAAGAGGAGGGTTTATCGTAGTTCACTTTGTAGCGATTGCAGTCCACAGCTGGTTGGCTCCAAGGCAGGCAGAAGACAGCAAACCAGCAAAGCACCAGTGGACAACAGCAGCCCGGTTTCTGTCCCGTATGTTCATCCAGATGACACGCACTTAGGGCAAGTAACACTCACACCTGTAATCCTAGCACCCCACCATGAATCTATCCCAGGGGCACACTCCAGACCCAGCCACCTCTGCAAAGCCCCACCTACTGCATGAGGCTTTAGGGGGACGTATAGACACAGCCTTAACACCAGTTAAACTTGAGTTTCAAAGGAACCTTTATCTTTTTAGAATAACCATACTCCAAATGAAAAGCTTGTTTACCTGAGCTTCAGACTTCACTGGGTTTTCTGTATTTTTACCCGCTACGTCCAACAACCCTTCCCTGCTGCCTGCTCTGAAGGTTATCAGTCAGGAGCACCCCTGCCTGGTCTGCCTGCATCGGGCTCAGAAGAGGGTGTGGAGGGGCGGAGTCCAGGGCTGTAAAGTTACACCAGCTGGGGCTCCTGCAGATCAGGGAAACTGCACCTCTCCCCCTTGAGTGAAAACCCATTCCTGCTAGACTGAGCCATTTCCTGAGGGCTTGGGCTGGTGTGGAAGAGGGGTGGTTACTTGGGAAGTGTTGGAAACTTGAGCTTTAGACCCAGGGTACTCAAATCTCAACGTGTATCGAAGTTGCCCACCTGCCAGGACCAGACACCACCAGCCTGGGGAACCACTCCTCAAAGGTGTTGTCCCTTAAATTTTTTCTTTTTTAAATACACTCACTACGCAGCCCATGCTGGACTCAAATTTGCAACCTTCCAACTGCAGCCTCTCAAGTGCTGGGATTTTAGGCATGTGCTACCACACCTGGCTCGTTCCTCAAACTTCAGTGCACCTGGGAATGACCGGCATCTTTTCTGTTGAAATGTCACCTCAGTGTAGCATTCATTCTAACCCTGCCCGCCCTTCCCTAACATGGTGCCAGGTGACACCATGCTGTTGGCCTGTGGACCATTTGGAGCAAGGGTCTCTGGGCACTCAGGTGTTGGCAGAGTCAAAAAGAAGCCACATGTGGTAGTGCACACCTCCAGTCCTGGCTACTGGGGGGCTGAGGTAGGAGGATCACAAGTTCCAGGCCGGCCTGGGCAACTCAGCAAGACCCTGTCTCAAAATAAAGAAGGGCTGGGTCACAGCCAGGGAAACCCAGAGCAGAGCTGGAGGCCACGGCTGGAGAGCTCGCTGGCCTGGCGGGGGAGCAGTCAGCGCGAGGCTGAGGCCACATGGAGACACAGGGCTGGGCCGTGGACGTGTTCAGACCCCAGATGCCACCAGGCCAGACCAGCTGAGAGGAGACCTTTTATTGGCAGTTGTTCCTTGTTAAATCGACAGGGGGAAGCACTGATTTTTTTAAAAAAAAACAGTAAAAGCTGGTTTCTCCCAAACTAGTTTCACCGTGGTAGTTGAGGTCAGCAGGTCAGCTGGCAAGTCATGCCCACGTGACTCAGTTTAGGCCCTGTAATTAGGAGAGGACCCGTGAAACTAGTGCCGCTTCTCCAGCTATTAAACTCGTTCATTCACGTGATCAGCTGAGGCGCACAGAAAGTAACTTCTACTAAAGGATCAGCCACGGCCAAGACCAATCAGCGAGGGCTTGCGACACGATGGAGCACGGAGGCGGCAGCCTGGGGGAAGGGGGCGTCTCCAGAGCTGCTGCCACCCCCGTCGGCACCAGTCACGCCGAGGGGCTTCGTCCTCCTGTTAGGAACCTCATGCTTGGTCCTCTAGAAAACTGCGCCGAAGCACCTGTGTCTGTCGCTGCTGGAGAAGCTCGGGTGGGGTGGGAAGGGCCGCAGCCAGAGCAGGGGCAGGCAGCAGGCACTGAGGCCACAGGGGAGGACGCGCTGGCCTTCGTCCCCAGACAGGCCGGGAGCCCGGGTGGAGAGGTCTCCTCCGAAGACAGCTGTGTGGGAAGGTGTGAGCAGCCGGCCAGGCCTTCAGGCCCTGTCTGACACCTTCTGTGTCTCATGTGAATCCCAACCCCAGGCCGGCCAGGTCGTGGCAGATTAGAACCTCCCCCAGTACTGGTCAGTGCGCGGGATTCCAGCCACGATTTCAGACTCGATTCCACAATGATCCTCTCCTCTGACGATTTTAAAGAAGCCTGGCAAAGAAAAGGAAGGTGAAAGTACGTCTTGGGTTTGTTTTTTTTTTGTACTGGGGATCGAACTTGGGTCCTTGCGCTTGCGCAGCAGGCAGTGAAACCACTGAGCTAAATCCCCGGCCCACGTCTTGGGTGTTGATCCCAGGAGCTGAGTAAGTCACCAAGCCCAGCTGCACCAGGCCCGTGGACTTCCTGTCTGAGTCCACAGCTGGGTCTGAGCATCGTGGGCTCCTCCACGAGCCCCATGGCCCTTCCCAACACTGCCCCAGGTGCCCTGGGAACTGTGCTATGCTCAGCGATGCAAAGCCGAGTCCTGGCCACACCAAACCGTCCCTGTGGCTCTGGCAAACCCCAGCTCACTATGCCTGAGCACTTAGGTTATGGCCAAGCCTCGGGTCTGAGGTGGGGGCCGTGCCATAGGCGGGGCAGGGAGGCCCAGTCAGCCTCCCCGCTCTGGCTCAGGGCTCCGTAGGCTCAGCAGGGCGGAGGATGCCACTCACCACTGTCGCCCCAGTCAACGTTCCAGGAGTTGCCCACCAGCCAGTAGGGGACGCCATTCTCCTTTCCCCAGCCCAGAATGCGGATGGCATGGCCTCCCAGCATCTCTCCAGCCAAGTGCTTGTACACTCCTGAGGGAAGGAAAGCCGGTTCAGACCAAGCCCAGGCTCCTGGCTCCCACGGCACCCCGGCTGTGACCTTGTGGTAGACTGCCTGCCTGCCACAGGTGCTGGTTCTTCCCTAGCACTGCGAAGTGGAAATAAAAAGACTAGAATATCACTGCTCCGACCGGCGGCTCCAGGGTTCCCACGACACTGGGGGACAATCTGTGTGCGCGCTGCTGGGGACGAAATCCAGGGCCTATGCTCAGCAAGCTCTCTGCCACTGAGCTACAGCCCCAACCCTCTGAATTTATTTATTTATTTATTTATTTATTTATTTTTTAGGTACCAGGGATCAAACTGAGGACCTTGTGCTTGCAAGGCAGGTGCAGCGCCAGAGACAAATCCCCAGCCCTCTAAATTTATTTTTCTTTGGTACTGGGGATTGAACTCAGGTCCTTGTGATTGTGAGGTCAGCAGTGGAACCACTGAGCTAAATAATCCCTGGTACTATTTTTTTTTTTTTGGTACTAGGGATCGAACTCGGGTCCTTGTGCTTGCACAACAGGCGACGAAACCACTGAGCTAAAATCCCTGGCCCTATTTTTGAAAGCCCAACACACTCAAAATGTATATAGTACAAAAACAGAGCCCCACAAAAAAATACCACTGTTGGTTGGCTTTGAAAACAGCAGGTCGAGCACATGCGTATGTAACAAAGGCAATGCTAAAGGGCTGATGATGTTTCCATCTGAGAGTCCATGCAAGAGTTCATCTGTCAAAGGACTGCATGGCTTAGTTTTAAACCACCGCTCTGGGGACTGATGCAGAGGGCAGAGCAGAGGGCCGGCGGTGCTGGCTGACTGGGTGGATGCTGGCCATGTGCTCAGGGAGCTGGTCGCCCAGGCCTTCCAATGGGTGACTCAGCTGAACCAGAAATGCACCTTCAGTACCACAGGCCGGGAGCTCAAAGAGCCACCGTCATGGGGCCGGGCTGCGGCTCCAGGGCAGAGAGCTGGCCTAGCATGCGCGGGGCCCTGGTTTCAGTCTCACCACAGAGAAAGACAAACAGAACTGCTGTCCTGACTGTTTTCCTTGCTCGGTCATCTTCCCTTGTCCCATCCTTTTCTATGGGTTATGAGCAGCGACAGTGACATTCAAGCAGAATGGAAGTGAGAAGAAGGGGTTTCTAAGAAGCTCTGTGGCACAGGGAGGGGGACCGTTCCTTCCTATCACTAAGATCCACAGCAAGGTTCTCCTCATTCAGCACCGGGAGTGAGGTGTGACTCTAGCCTTTGCAGACAAAGCCAAAGCTGAATGAAATGAGCCACTAGGCCTGCACTGTTCCACGGTGGATGTGGACACAGGACACAGGCGTGGGCAGAGCAGGCTCCTCCCACCGGAGGAACAAGGCCACGGTTAGAGGGCAGAGGAGAAACGGGAAACAGCAATGCAAGGAGCGCAGCCGGCCCGGCACCCGAGCCTCAGTGGCCCTAGCACACACCTGTTTTGTACATCAGGAAGTCTGAGAACACGGTGAAGGCGCCCTCCACTGGGCCATTTTTGTAGATCTCCGCCATGATCTCCTTCTCATTACTGGAGACACTGTAGGAATCGTACCCTGGGGACAGCCCAGGCAGGGCGGTGAGGGCATTTGACCCCAGGCAGGGCCAAGGGACAGAAGGCCCTGGAAGAGGCTGAGGGGACCTCAGGACCTGAGCACAAGCTGCTGCTTACAAAATGAGGGGCTGCGTCCCTTGCAACTGAAGGGGTCAAAGCTGGATTTGGGGTGCAACAGCCAACTTGCGGGAAGGCTGAATTGCATGCCCTCCCCCTTCCCAGTGTCCCCGGATCCTGCTTGAATGGCCCTGTGCCACCCGGCCCGGCCCACCATACCGAAGTGCTTGTCTTCCTTGTAGGACGGGGAGTAGCCAGGCTCGCAGGTCTTGCTGCACTTGGGGGTGTCGCCGCCCTCCCCCGTGCACTGGGGCCGGGTGCCGTTCACATGATGCTCGCAGGGAGGGATGGAGTAGGGTCTGCAGCCTGGAGCAGAGCGGGCTGAGCGCTCACTGGCGGTGCCATCCCGCCCGACCCAGAGGCCGCCACCGAGTCTGTCTCCAGCTTTAACTGCCCTCTGCCTGCAACCCTCCCTCGCTAAGGAGAAAGAAGCTGCCACAGCTCCCTGCTCGGGAATCCAGGGCAGCAGGTGCACACTCACCCACATGGGAGTCATATAGGCCACCGGAAACCAGGCCTTTCTTTGTCCAGTATTTCCAAGCTGCAGAGGGATAGCCGCCGTTACAGCTGAAAAAGAACCTTCCGTCAAACGCAAAGGGAGAGAAGTCCCAGCTCCTCCCAGCCTGTGCAAGTTCAAGGTCACCCTGGGCTGCACAGTGCTCAGCAAGTAACACCAGAACCCGATATGCACTTCCAGGGGGCTGGGCCCAGCTCTCATCCCTGCCCAGAAAGACCCTCAGGGGATACCGGACTGTGTTCATGTCGATGCACTCTTGCTTCTGCAACAGCATTTCTCAGCCCACAGCAAATCACAACCCCAAGGTACAGCAGCCCCCTCTTGCTTTTGCCATCAACTGCATCCAAAAACACTGCATGGAAAATTGCAGGCATAATTCCTGAGTTTTAAATTTCATGCTGCTTTGTATTATACTGTAATAGCACCACCTGGTCCAGTGGCCCAGCTAGCATGGCTGTGTTCTTTCCACATACCCTTGCTACCAGACTCACTTCCCTATTGGGTCAATATTAGCTAAGTGGCTGAACCTGTAATCCTGTAAGCCGATTGTGGTTTGAGCCACGTAGTACCCACGCTGTGATTTTGCTGTATAAAATATACTTGACAAAGAGCCTCACTGGCCACCCACTTGGGACCCATCCTGGAAATCCAGGAACTATTCTTCTCCTTAATTCCAATAAAACTCTACCTCCTTCCAAAAAATAATTTTTTTTTTCATTCTGTTCTGAACAGGGGAATAAAATCTCACGCATTCTCCTCCCTTCTGTAGGGAATGCAGACCACCCCTTTGTGCAGAGTATCCACATTCTGTGCACTATCTGCCTGGAGTTGCAGAATCACCATCGAAGCTGTGGATGTACTGTAGGTGAGGTGCTGCTGTGCTTGTGTCCCAGCAACCCTTAATTGACTTAGAAGGGCCCCAGAGGGACTGGTTAGGGCATGGTGAGCTGTCGAGTAGGCGTGGCCTGTCAATCACACCCCAGAGCAGAGCAGCTTCTAAGCCCAGCAGGTACCCAGTGGATGGGAAGGGACCACCATACTTAGGAAAAGCTCCAGTGGCTGATTTCACTGCTTTGGGTGTGGCCAGGGCACATTTTTGTTAACTCTCAGGTTTCCCAATCTACAGCAGGAGTCGAGCACACTGCTCAGACCTCCCTGGCAATGGTCAGCTCTTGAGTTAGTTTTCTGCTTTCGTTTTGAGACAGGGTCTCAACAGATGGTTCAGGTTGGTTTTGAACTCACTGTGTAGCTCAAGCTGGCCTCGAACTTGCAGCAATTCTCCTACCTGAGCCTTCAAGTGCTGGTATTACAGGCATGTGCCACCACACCTGGCTCCTGATTTAAGGATTTAATTCAGTGTGACCCACCTGGGGCCCAACTATAGATAAAGAAATGAGTGCAAAGAGAGGACATTTCCTCAAGAAGGAAAAGGAAAAAGGACAAAAACTTGACTGGGAAGCCAGGCACGGTGGCCCATGACTAGAATCCCAGCACTCGGGAGGCTGAAGGCAGAGGATCGCCACACAGTGGAGGCCAGCGGGGGTATCCAGTGAGTTCAAGGCAGCCTGGAATACGTAAGTGAGACCTGGGCTCAACCTCTGTCCCGAAAAGGAAACCCCCGGAAACCCGACTGGAGCTCAGAAATGTACCCACCTTTTCTGAGCCCATGCTTTATCAGGATCAGAAGCAGCCACACGAGGACTCTCTCCCAGACACCGCAGGCATCCTTCCCTCCCCAGGAAGGGCCCGGGACTCACCCATCCCCACACTCGAGGCCGCAGCAGCTGAGCAGGTCCTCCGCAGACACCTCCACGTTGACGTGCCCGTTGGTGTGGATGCAGACCCGGTCGGACATGGCCCCCACGGCCCCGAACGCCTGTGGGGACAAGGCTCACTGCAAAGGCCACCCCACCCGGACTGTGCCTCCCTGGCCATCGCCTGTGAGGCTGCAGAACCTCCGGCAGCGGGTCCCTCTCAGGGACAGTCAGGCTTCTGGGCTCACATTTTGCTTTAAAGGAATGACCAGAACCTTTCCCGAGAGCTTGGTTCACTTCTCAAACATAACACGGCTCAGCCAGAAGCCAGACATAATGAGGGTTCCATGCCTATGAGGCATGCAGAGCCATCAAATCTAGAGAGAAAGGAAGCAAAATAGCGGCTGCCAGGGGCGGTGAGTTAGTTCAGATACAGGACAAAAGGGGTTCTGTGGAGCCTAGGGGTGCCACCGTGGCAGAGCACCCCAAGGCCTTGGGCTCATCCTCAGCATGGGGGAGGGGAGGGGATCCGTGGACGGGGGCGGTGGTGGCAGCACAACCCTGCAACCATGTTACTGCCGCTATCTGTGTGCACACACTAAACAATGGTCAAGACAGCCGGTAACCAAGCTACTGGGGAGGCTGGGCCAAGGGGATTCCAGTGGCCAACCTGGGCAACTTCTGAGTCTGTTGCCCAAAAATAATTGTAAAACATGGGCTGAGGCTGTAGCTCAGTGGTAGAGCCCCCATGGATTCAATCCCCAGTAGCACTTCAAAAGAAAAAAGTTAAGATGGTTCTATTTCCTGTGGTGTGTATTTTAGCACAATTTGAAAATAAAAATTAATATACAAGCAGAGTAGCACCGTTTACTGACCAGAAACAGTTGCACAGCCCGGGCATGTAGGACTCGCAGCCTGCAGACCCTCCACTCGACCCTCACCATAGGAACCTAACCCTTGTGCTGCCTCCTGGCTGCAGGGATCATTCTCATGCCGATGGCCACTCCCCCCGTCACTCCCAGACCCGCTCCTCTCCCCTCAGCCCTCAGGTGCCTGGATCTTACCCAGCATGAGCCACAGGAGCCCTGGTCTCTGATCTCTTTGATGGTCGGGCAGTTGGGCCACTGTTGCCGGGCATCGAAGCTTTCGGGCAGGTCCACGATCTCGGCAAATTTAATCCTGGACAAAGGAAGGTCTCGCTGGACTCCCACCCTGCAGCCCAGCACCTCGCCTGCTTCCTTCTGGACTGACCCCGTGTGCACCAGGTCAGAGGTCCTCCTGCTGTCCTGCCCACCTCCACAGCTGCCCCAGTCGCTTCTTAAATGAACTTTTTAATATTTACTTCATGTTTTTTGATTCTTATTTTACATAAGAGGTGAACTGAACAAGCTGATGTGGGGTCCAAAGGGGTCAGGGATTCGTTCTACTACTGTCACAGCTCCTGGGGCTTTTCTTAGTCCATGCAGGCCTCGTGTGCCATGCCTGGGGGCCTCATCGCAGCCCTGACACCCTGTGAAGAAGCAGGTGGAAAACGCCAGCACAAGGCAGACCTGTGTGTACCTGAGGTGGTCTCTGCAGCTGGGGGCCTGGACTGTCCCTCCCTGCCCCGAGGTCCCCATTGCTCCTGCTGCTCGTGGCACAGTATGCAGGGGCCAGCATGGGCTCTCACCTCTGTGGCAGCCTGGGCCCACCCAGGTAGGTGCCGCACAGCCTCTTCACGTAGCTCAAGTGCACGTTGTGGAAGTTGTGTCCAGCCTGGAACAGAGCCGCACCCACGATGGTCACCCACTGACCCAGTGCTTCCTGGGCTGCAGCTGGGTGCGCTCGCGGCCCCACGAAAGGCCCATCTCAGGGCAGACCGGGGTCTCGCCCAGCTCAGAGACAACAGTGAACCAGGGACACAGCGCGGGTTCATGCCCGCAGATCTGCCTGTGTCTGCTAAGAGACCCTCCGGGCCCTGGACACAGCTCCTTCCTCGCTTCTCAGTCCCTGCAGCACCTGGCTCAGGGCTGAGCAGAAACCGGGACACGCACGCACACACACCCACACCTTCCACAGCTGGCTGCCCGTGGCCGTGGACACTTCTAAGCCCACATCCGCCTCCACTCCTGTGCATGCGCACTCACACATGCTCCGCGCACGCGCACACAGTGAACGGGACAGGGAGGAAGCGCTGTGGTCCCCAGCGTCACCCTCCGGAACAGACCCTGTGTCCGGGGAGCTGGCGGCACAGGCTGGGGAGAGGACACACGGACCGCCCACCTGCCACGTCGTGTTCTGCTTGTTGATGTAGTTGACCAGCTCGTCTGACAGCGGGTGGAACCATGGTGCGTTATAGGCGCCGGTCAGCGCCAGCAGGAAGCACAGAGGAGCCGAGGACCGCCACATCCTGAAGCTGGGCCGTGGACACCTGCCAGGGATGGCACAGCACAGGAGGCATCAGGACGGCACCTCACGGGGAGGTGCGGACACCGTGTCCCCGCGGTGCTTTTGAGACAAGGTCTTGCCGAGTCTAAACTGGCCTTGACCGCACTATGTAGCAGAACTGGCTGGACTCAAACTCGCACCAGTCCTCCTGCATCAGGTGGGCGCATGCCTGGGGCAGTGGATATTTAAATTAGAAGCTTATGACAGTGAAAGAGGCATCACACACCGGGGAGGGGGGGAATTATGGGAGTTCCCCAAATGTAGCTCAGGGCCACGCACCTTTTCCTGTGCAATCACTGTATTTCTTGATCACCCCACTGTTCCCCTCCACACCTGATGCCCGAGCCAGGCCAGAGACAGCCAGGGACTGTCTTGTGACCAAGCCGAGTCTGGAGCCCCTCTCCATTGTTTTTTTATAACGGGGATGGAACTCAGGGCCTCGAACTTGCCAGGCAGGCACTGTGGCTGCTGAGCTACATCGTCAGCCCTCCTCTCCACTATTTTCAAACTACAGGAATTTGTTGAAGTTAGTGATGAAGGGAGCAGAGTTACCCGTGTGACAGTGTCCTAAGGGAGAAGCAGTGGGCTAGAAAAAAAAAAAGTAAGAATGCTCACAGCCAGGCATGGTGGCACATGCCTGTGATCCCAGCACTTGGGAGGCTGAGGCAGGAGGATTGCTGCCAGTTTGAGGCTACCTGGACTATGGAGTGAGCCTTTGTCTCAAAAAAACGAAAACAAAACAAGACAAAAAAAAAAGTTCATTAGCCTCTTGCCTGACACCCTGACACGAAACACGGGGTGTGTGCAAGTCCAGCAGACGGGCTGAGCTGGACAGCTCCCGAGGTCCTCTGGTTTTCCCAGTCTGCCAAGGGCTGTTTCTGGCTCCCGGAAGAGGAAGCCCTCACATCAATCCAGCCCTGTGACCCTGGACCGCAAGTCATAAGACCAGCAATTCCCGGCTTGCCTGTGAGTCATCCTCTTGGGCAAGCAGCTAACAAGAGTGAGAAGGGCTTCCTAGGGAGCCTGGGCACCAGGGGCCCCTGAGTCAGTGGGCGGCACGACAGAGAGAGAGAGAGAGAGAGAGAGAGAGAGAGAGAGAGAGAGAGAGAGGGAGGGAGGAAGGGAGAGAGAGAGAAAGAGAGAGAGAGAATATGCTATGGGATTCCATCTGACACAGGAGAAAAATTTTAAGCACTAATCCACCTGGAGGAACAAATGTGTGAGGACAGACTGTCCAGGGAAAGAGCCCTGATGACAAGGGGCCCTGGATGGCACTGTGTATTATAACACAAGGGAGGCCAGGCATGGTGGCCCACGCCTGTAATCCCAGCACTCAGAGGCTGAGGCAGGAGGATCCCATGAGTAAAAACCCAGCCTGGGAAACTTAGTGAGACTCTGTCTCAAAAACAAGGGCCGGGGATTTGGCTCAGTGGTTCCAGCGCCTGCCTGAAAAGCACAAGGTCCCGAGTTCCATCCCTGGTAACAAAACAAAACAAAACGAGGCCTATATCTCACTGCAAGCCCTGTATTTAATCCCCAATACTGCAAAGACAAAACAAAGACGGATAAAATATAAATGACTAGCCTAGTGTCGAGTATGTTGTGCTTGTCCCTCAATAAATGTTTGCTAAAAACTAAAAAAAGGCTAGGGATGTAGCCCGGCACTCCCTGAGTTCAATCCCCAGTACCCCCTAAAACATTCTAACTTGGTAACTTGGGGTGTGGTTCAGTGGTAGAGGTAGAGAACATGCTTAGCATAAGGCTGTAGGTTCCATGCAAGTGAAAACAACTCATCAGACTAGAAAAAGCATAACAGAAAAATAGGTTCAGTGACTGCTGAAAAAGTAAACAGCCAATGCAGATGTAAAACTGTTTGAATTCAACTGTAGTAAAATCAAGATGTTCCATGTATCTACTGTGTATCAGTACGCTGAGGGCCGAACAGTCTGGTGCTAGGGTTAGCATGTGGGTTAGGGGTTAGGGTGTGGGGAAACGGATCCTGTGGCGGGAGGTACTGGCGATGCCTATCTATCCACTTTGACATCTGCACTACTGACTCAGGACCTCGCCACTTAGAAATTTATCCTGCAGCTGTGCTAGCCCTAGAATGCAAAGACATAGGTATGAGAGTATTCTTTACACTGGTCTAAGGCTGCAAACGAAGGAAATGTCTAACGCCAGCGCCCAAGTCCTCCTGCTGAGCGGGGAAAAGTGCTTCCGATGATTGGGTGACGGTGACGGGCAGGTCTGGGTCTATCAGACAAGGCAAGCATGGTGAGTAGCGCCCTCACTGCCAGCAGGTATCAGGCAAGATTACAAGTGTGGTGGCTGCAGATGCAGATGCAGATCCAGATGGCAGCCGAAAAGGCTCACGGGTGGGCAGCCTGACCCTCCCGCCACAGCTGAAACCTCAATGGTCCAGGGCAAGATTACACCAGCTGAAGACATCCTGGGAGGAACAACATCTTCATTGCAATAGTTTCTCACTGTTCCAGGATTTTCGCTGCTGCCCTTTGAGTCTCCTTTCACATTTGCTACTCTCCGATGTACTGAACTCTCTGCCCTGAGTCATCTGTTAGATTTGTTTCTCCTGATGTACAAGCTCAGGGCTTTCGTCTTTGCCACCCAGAGCAGCACTGATCAGGCCCAGAACTCAGCTTCTTCTCTAAGTCTCATTTTTTCTATCTTTACTGTCTATGTATTAATTAATTCACCTGTCCTGCCGTGGCTTGCAGGGGACTAGGACTCACTGCAGAGCTTCTAGTAACATCCCCTTTCCCTGTTCCCTACAGAATCCCACCCCCTGTCTCTTAAGAGAATGTGTTCTTGTATTTCCAACCCTCATTTCTTTTGGGATGAATAGCAAGCACTACCATCAAAGGTCCTGAGGCCCCAAACTGATAAAAGACCACAAAAATGGTCCCCAAATGCATTCATTCCAGTTACTTCCCCTGACACCAATGAGGCTTCCTCCCTCACCTTTCTGCCAACACTCAGAACCCCACTTCCACCCACTCATGGGGAGATCGCACCCCATGTGACCCTCGTCAGCCACCCGTGCGGCCTCAAGGCTGTCAGGTGAGCGTGCTGCTGGGAGAGCACAAGTTGGCTGTCTTCTTTTGAGAAGCCTGACTTGTACTGCTGGCAGGGGTGTGGATGAATGGGGCCCGCTGGGATCCAGGCTGCTGCACCATCAGCCTGGGGCTCTGACCCTCCCGTGTGGGAGAACAGGGGTGTCCCTGGGCGCCCCGAGGGCTTGGCATCTGTTGTGATGTTAAATCATAAGCTGAGAGAATAGGAAGGTTTCCATGGCAACCTGAATTTTAAACCATTTCTTTGGCGTCTGTGGTGGCAGAGAACAAGGGCCCTGTCTCCCGGATGGTCCCCAGCTCTGGGCAGGTCGGTCAGCCCCAGCCACCTGCCTGCGGACCTCGCCCCTGCCTCTGGGGCGTTGACTCCACTAAGCCTCAGCTGATCACCTCGGGTGAAACCGGGTGAACGAGCACTGAGACTCAGGTGCAAGGCGGAGGAAACCGTGGACAGCAGAAGGCCTTGGCACGGGGCCCGGGGTCACAGGTGCTGCTGTGCCGCCCACCTGAGCAGGTCCACTTCCTCCTCCTCCTTCCTCTCCTCCAAGCCAGGCCTGGTGAGTGCAGCTCAAGCCACACCTCCACTGTGAAGAAGAGCCAAACACTGCTCCTGCAGGGGTGGGCGGGGGCAATTTCACACCTGTGAGGGGTGGATGGGTCCAGCTGCACTGTCAGCGAGACAGTCACGGGCTCTGCTCCTTCCCAACAGCTCCCCACTTTCTCTTCCCCTGGGTTAGGCAAACACTTCCCTTTATTTGCCAATCTGTGATTTTTCTAATTATAGAAGATGAGCAGAAAGTCCTTATTTCACCACCAGCCTCCTCTTCCAGGTGTGGATGGTTAGGGGCAGCTAGGATGCTTCTGGGCCAGGTCAGCGGCTGCCTGGGACACCCGGGTCCTGCTGACACCCCAAGCCCTTCCCAGCTGGTCCCTGGCTCTCCTGGTCCCTCACTTTCCAGACCCCCACAGCATGCCTTGGTTCACAGCCCTGAGCAGGGACAGGGCCTGTCCAGGTGAACCCTGACCACTGAGGCTGTTCCAGCACAATATGGCCCTGGGGACTCTGGCAGGAGGAATGAACATGGAAGCAAGGCTTGTGTCATTGTCCTTTCATCCTAGAGAACAGGGTTGCAGCCAACAAGCTTGAGCAAGCCGGTTTGTTACGCTGCGAGAGCCCCAGGCAGACTGGACTCTAATCCAAAAGGACCTAGGCAAAGGGGACACAGACACCTAAATTCCCCACCGGGCCAGCTGCCATCCGCTGGCAAATGGGTAAGTGAACCCATGTCCACAGCAGTCTCTGGTCCAACATCCTCCCCTCTGTCCCCGGAGCTGTGGACACCAGGCTGAGTGGTCTGGCTTGGGGAAGGTGAGAAAGTAGCAGGATGGTGATGACTCGGGACCCAGCCAGGGAACTTATGAGCTCTCCCTGTTCCATGAAAACTCAGCTTGCTGTCCCTGTCATTAAAGTGGCTATAACACTGCAGTACACCTGCTGAGACTTCCACTCAGGCCACCTGTCCTGGGGATGGTGAGGGGCGCCTCAAGCCCCAAGCTCGGGCTGGAGCTGTCTGTCTTGCTTTGTGTCTGCTCCTAATGGAACAGTGTTTAGCAGATTCTTGGTTCTGCATGTTTTTGTTTTTCCCACTAGAACACAAGCTGACAGCTTCTGGTCCTTTACAGTACTCGAGAAACAAGACAGCGAATCTAAAATGGTTAGAAATAAAAAGGCTTAAATATGAAGACCTGCATGGGGGAGGGCTGGGCTCTCTCCCTCCAACAACAACCCCGTACACAAGCACCAAGGGCTTGGCCCCCCTGCCTCCTCTTTCGCCTTTGGAACAAGCAGCAGCTTCTTGGTCCCAGAAGCCAGGCTTTATGTGGCAACTTCTGC